ATTTGTCTTCCTCCCGCTCCTCGACGCGCCTCTCACTGCCATGGCCAACCTCCTCAGCCGGATCTATCCGCGCGGCACCCTCCTCCGCGGACTCATCCCCTCGCGCCGGCACCTGACTGTCTTCCATCGGCTGGCCGGGAGCGCCATCGTACTCCTCGGGCTTGTCCACGGCGTGGCGCACCTGGTGAGCGCAACGCGCGTGGGCGCAGCGACGGCGGCAGAGCGTGAGTCGGCGTTCCCGGCAAGGTCGCGATTGGCGACGTATCGGACAGCTGACTCGGCCATTGAGGTGATTCTGGCCACGTGGCTTGGCTTCTCGGGCCTTCTCCTCCTCATGCTCTTCTCCACAGTGGCGCTCTTCTCTATCCCGCTCGTCCGCAAGGTTTGGTTTGAGCTCTTCTACGGCGTTCATCACCTGGTCTTCCTCGCTACGGCCATCGCCGCTGTACACCCGACAACGTCCCGGACGGCCTGGTTTGCGGGCCTTGGCCTCGGCGCATACATTGTCCACCGGATGATCTCAGTCGCGTCCTCGCTTAAGGCGCACGCCATCACTGGCGCGGCGCTTACTGCTGGCCGGGTGGCTGCCATCAAGTTCCGCGCCACGCCCGCCATGCACAAGCACCTCGCACCGGGCACATTTGTCTGGATCAACCTGCCGTGGCTGGCGCGGCGCGAGTGGCATCCGTTCTCCATCGCGTCGTCGCCGCTGGCGGACGACATCACGCTGTACGTTAAGGCCGTCGGCGGCGCATCATCGTGGACGTGCAGAGTAGTGGAGGCGGTGGCTGAGGATGCAAACCGTGTGATTGGGCGTTCGATCCGGGTTGCCGGGCCGTTCCGAACTGACTCGCGCAACGTGGCCGCGTTTTCACACGCAATCCTCATCGCGTCGGGCATCGGGGTGACGCCGTACGCGTCGATTGTCTCAGACCTCATCCACAGGGCTCAGCGTGGAGAGCTAGCGCGCGAGCAGACGATCTCGTTCTGGTGGGTGACCCGCTCGCTTGACGACTATGAGTGGCTGCTTGAGCTGCTTGCTGAGCTGGCGAGCCAGGCCAATGCCGCGCTTTCGCCGTCGCCACATCGGCTCGTCACCGACATCCGGATCTTTGTCTCAGGCGCGTCGCCGCCGTCGTCAGACGATATTCCGACGAGCCTCGCGGCGCACGCGGTCATTGCCGCCGGGCGTCCTCAGTTTCCCTACATGCTCGGCTACGCTGCAGCACATCACACGGCCACCACGCCGCTGGGCGTGTTCTACTGCGGCATCGCGTCGCTCGCGGACGATGTCCGGGCGGCGGTGCGGGCGCTGCCGCACACCGAGTACCACGAGGAGAGCTTTGCGCCGTAGGACTAGCGGCGTGCTTGGAACACAACGATGGCCTTCTCGAAGCGCTGGAGGATTTTGGCGCTGTCGGCCTGTAGGGCGGCGATGTTACCCGTAGCCATTGTGACGTGGTCCTCGACGTCGGCGAGCTCGGCCTCGAGCTTGTCCACGCGAGTGATGTCGCCGCTGGTAGCGATGGTCTGGCGGACGTAGGAGGCCACTGGCTCCAAGGCAGACGAGATTGACATGGCCGTCTTGCCGTTGGTCCCAGTCGTGCCACGGCCTGCTCCTCTGCTGTCCCCGGCATCGACGACGAAGGTCGTACCATGGTCACCTGGCGTTGGTACCGTGGCTGGTAACCGAAGGCGGGGCGGACGTCAACAAGGCCAACGACAGCGGACAAGCACCACTGTACGCTGCTGCACGGGACAGCCACTTGGAGATGGTACAGTAGCTGGTGGCCGACGGCGGGCGGACGTCGACAAGGCTGACGAAGGAGCGGAGAAACGCCGCTGTGCGCCGCTGCATGGTACGACCGCCTGGAGGTGGTGCAGTGGCTTACGTCCGTACATAGTAATGAGGCTGAACTCATTGCCGATGACCAACATGAACGAATACAAAACACCAAACGCCACAGCAAAGGCATTCATAACTGTCGATTCGGACTACTGCCCGAACAGTGGCTGCGTCGGTGGTAAGGAAAAAAGTGGCATTCCTTGCCGCTTCCGCGGCTTCGAGCGCGCGCTGGGCGGCTTCGTATGCCAGGTTTCAGTGGAGCGAAATTTCGTGAGCTCCGCCACATGCTCCGCCACATGCTCCGCCACACACTGACCATCCCACCATCTTCTCAAAACAAGCCCTCGTCTCCACCCTCTCATTTCGTCACTACATCACAACCAACCCCATTCTCCAAATCATGCCCACTTGCGAGCAAGAAAAAGCGGTCGCACTCCCACCGTTTGGCCTCCGCCTCGGCAGCATTGCACTCATCATGGTAGTCTCTTGGCTTGGCTTTCTCGCTCCGCTTGTCGCAAGCCGCTTCGGCCACGGTCCTGGATCTCTGCTCCTCAAGTGTGGCGCTCTCTTTGGTGGAGGCGTCCTCCTCGCGACGGGATTTGTGCACATGCTCTTCCCCGCCCTCGTGGCGCTCACCAACCCCTGCCTCACCACGTTTTTTACCGACGACTTCCCCCCCTTAGCTATGGCCGTCACGATAGCCACCATTCTCGGCGTGCACCTCCTCCACACTGTCATCAGCCGCCACATCCACTCGGTCCACCACGCGATCCCTAACAATTTCGTGCACTGTCACGAGTCGAGTTCTATCGTCTCGTCCCGCTCCTCATCCTCAGCATCCTCCTCCGATCCTGCGCGCTCGCAGATCTCGCACTCGCACAGTGGAGACGCGAGTGCGAGTAAGGCGAGATCTGACATGGGGTCTGACTCTTCGCAGTTTGTGCATCAGGATTCGCATGAGGACGTCCTCGCGCTCCTCCTCATTGATCAGCAGGTGAGCACGATTCTGCTCGAGTGCGGCGTTGCGCTGCACTCCCTCGTCATCGGGTTTGTCGTCGGGAGTGCGCGTGAGGAGTTTATCACCCTCCTCATCGCGCTCTCGGTCCACCAGTTTTCTGAAGGAATGGCCCTCTCGTCGACAATACTGAGCACGGCGTGGCGCCCACGCTTCATTGTTCTGTTCGCCGTCCTCTTCAGCGTTACGACTCCGATTGGCCTCACGCTTGGCATCATCTTTGCCTCGCGCTTTGACGCAAACGACCCCTCGTACCTCCTTTCTATCGGCATCCTCGACGCCGTCGCCGCCGGCATCCTCATTTACGACGCTCTCGTCAACATCCTCGTCCCCGGATTCAACGACAGGCTTGCACACGAGGCCTCCCCAAGCAGGCTTCTCCTTTTCACCGCGTCCGTCTGGACCGGAGCCGCCCTCCTTACCGTCATCGGCGCATGGATTTGAATGCAGATTCAAGCTGAAATGACCAATGAAATGGCCACGGGAGGAGGCCCGGCCCGGAAGGAGTTTTAGTGATGACACTCTCAGTTGCCGGCTGAGCGTCGCTCTGTCGGCTCGACGCCTCTGAGATTTCCTCGCATTCATCGCACTGGCCTGCATGCCAGCTGCTTCGTACCATTCAGCACGGTAATCATGCGTACTCGAGCCCGACAAATGCTCGCGTACTCGCGATATCAAGACGCTCCATTGTAGTCTTCCCGACGACCCCTCCCGCCTCCGGTACAATCACCGACACACCAGCTGATGCGGTAGTCCGGACCAACAGTTACGGATGCCTTCAATGCTACACTGCTTCTGGCGGGAGAGTCGCGGAGTTTTGACTCCGCGTGGACCGTCTGACGTGTGTCTACGTCCTCGCCGCGCTGGGAAAACGTCACTCCTGAAACACCAGCCAAGTGCTGGTCGCACACTTGCCAAACAACCGCCACTGCTTCTGCTGCTTGGCCGAGCCACCACTGCGCGACGTAAAACACAACCTTGTCCTCCCGACACTGCAACCTGCCCGGCATCCCCTGTTGCCGCTGCAGCCCGCTGGCGCGCTTGCTCCACGAAAGGAAGGTAAATGCGAGCTCGAGGTCAACAAGCGCCTCCGCCACACACTCGCCGAAAACGCCCATCACTACTCCTCCGAGCTCGTTCATCACCTCGCTTCGCACCAGATTGACCTCAATTCGTCTCAAGCGTGCCGCCGAAAAGCAGAAAAACCGGAGAGCGTTCTGGCTCGAGCTCGAATGCGAGCCAAAGTCGGCCGACACCTCCTCGCCGTCCGCCGTCGCCACGCTGTCAGTCATCCCGGACTCGAGATTCTCGAGTGTGCCTTCGTCGATACAGTCGACTTTGATGGAGTGGGAAAAAAATTGCGGACATGGTTCGCAAAGATGCTAGAGTTGTAGCCGAGGACAGGACCTCAATTTCCCCCAAGAGGTGGCTCGAGACCAAAATAGGCCCCCCCGCTCATCTACGACTTTCTCCTTGATCTGACTAGCAGGACTAGAATCGAAAGGTCTCAACATGAACAGTAAATCCATGCTCAGTTCCTGCTGCAATGGCAGCATCACAAAGCGACGGCGGCCCGCACACGGCGACAAGGACGGCCCGTGCAGGCGAGCCAGTGGCTTGCACTTCGGCGAGCAGTTGGTCCAAATCGGGTCGACCAGGCGTCCATTCGAAGGTAGCGATGGCGGACGAGGACGAGGAGGCCGAGTCAGACGACGACGACGAGATCGACCGTGACGGCGGCGGCGCCGAATGGAAAAACGAGGTCGTGAGCCGGGGGCCGAGAACCCGGCCTGCGTGCTCGAGTGTGGAGCCGATCCACGGCGTGCACACGTCGGCCATGGAGCGCGACGTCCACACAAACGTCACGCGCTGCACAGAGTCTGCTTCAGTGTCCGCGACGTGCTGCAGAATGCTAGCCATGGGCGTGACGCCCACTCCGCCAGCCACAAGCACCACGTGGCTGCACTGCGCGAGTGCGGCATGCGAGAGGCTCAGCTCGCCATATGCCCCGTCGATCCAGATGCTCGGACTAGCGCCCCGCTCCGCGAGCGCGTGCAGCTTCGCCGTCCACGATTGGGCATGCGTGTGGTGGACCACCTTGACGATGAACCGGACGTGCCGAGTGCTCGGCTCGAAATCGACCACCGAGAATGGATGCCACGCCGCCCACGCCACCGAACCGACGCGAAGGAACGCATAGCTTCCCGGACGCGGTGCGGCCCACTCGTGGGGCCACATAAGGGATATTTCTGTTGCTTCGCCGGGAAGCACCGAGAGCTTGGCACGCCGCCGTCCACGCCACGCGCGCACTGTGCGGGCCAATAGGAGAGCGAGCCAGAGCGATCCAGGAACGGCGAGGTAGAGCGCGATGCCTGGGACGTGCACGAGCGCAGCGATCACGGCGGGGACCTGGAGCCAATGCAGGGCACGGAAGACTCCAAAGTGATGGCGACGAATGGTGGGCAATGCCCCGACACCCATGACCGCAAACAAGCCGAGCGCTACCGCGCCCGCAAGCGAGACCCCGCCGACCGAGAAATGGCCGAACTTCGTGCGAATCGCCATCCACGCCCCGTGCGCGCTCGCGACTGTCAGAAAAACAGCGCCGAACACGCGATGGAACTTGAGGCGCCGCTCAAACGGCAGGACGCGCCCCGCCACCCACCGGTCGAGGCCGGGGTAGCGGAGCACAGGAAGGTACATGAGCGCGAGGCAGAGCTTGGCAAGCTTGCCGAGGACGAACGGCCCGAGATAGCTGCTCTTGTCGGCCGAGACGACCTTGTGCCCGTCGCCAACGCCGACCCACGTCGCCGTGGCGGCGAAAAGCGCGAGGTACGCAAGCACGCCAATGCCAAACACAACCTCGGCCCGCCGGACGTTGAGCATCCTCACGAACGACGAGGGTTTCGTGCGGATGGCGCCCACGCCCGCAAGCACGCACCAGAGTACAACGACCCCGAGACCCGCCACGCCCACGTCCATCTTGATCGACGCCCCCATTGCCGCCCGATGCCATGAGAGAGGTACGTTGGTTCAATTTGTTTACGCTGGCGTCCGTTGCACACCAAGCCGCCGTGGTGGAGCCGGTGGAGCACACAGCGAATTCTTTGCATCGTCCGCGGCCCAACAGTCCTACAGGTCTGACACCAGCTGTAGTTCCTGGTGTTCAGATCGACAATCAGGGA